TGTTGGGAGGCCAAGGTGGGTGGATCACCTGAGATCAGGAGTTCCAAGAACAGCCTGACCAACATGGAGAAACTTCGTCTCTAATAAAAATACAAAATTAGCCTGGTGTGGTGGAGCGTGCCTGTAATCCCAGCTACTCAGGAGGCTGAGGCAGGAGAATAGCTTAAAACTGGGAGGCGGAGGTTGCAGTGAGACAAGATCGCACCATTGCACTCCAGCCTGGGCAACAAGAGTGAAACTCCATCTCAAGGGGAAAAAAAAAAAGAAAGAAAGAAAAAAAGAAGTCAAACTCATAGAAACAGAGAGTGGCCAGAGTCTGAGGAGTAGGGAAATGGGGAGGTATTGATCAAAGGATGCAAAATTTCCACCAGACAGGAGGAATAAGTTTAAGAGATCTACTGTACACCACGGGGACTAAAGCTAATAACAATATACCTGAAATTTGTGAAGAGGGTAGATTTTAAGTTTTCTCACCATAAGAAAACAACTATGTGAGGTAATGCATATGTTAAATAGCTTGATTTAGCCAATCACAATGTATACATATATCAAAGCATCATGTTGTACAACATAAATATATACAATTTTTATTTGTCAATTAAAGAAAGAAAAACGTGTAAAGGGCTTTTAGGTTTAAAGAAAAAACCAGTGCTTTGTAGACCAAATGTCCCAGGTGGCTGGGAGCTAAATGGTTAGAGGCAGCATCACGGATAAATCTGAAGCCTGAGCTCTCTTCTCACTAGATAACTTTGTGTAAGTCAGCCTCTCTTAAACAGGAATAAATGATAATGCATATTTTGTAAGGCCAGCATACTGTGAAATTATTTAGTGCAGTGCTGGGCATAAGGACATAGCCGCTGTACGTTGGTTATGTCATCATTGTCTTCTTGAGGAGTGCTTTCTACCTGATGTCTAGGTGGAAGCCAACAGATAGCTTTCTCTCAAACAGAGCTGCATCTCTGTCTCTTATCACCTTAAATTTTGCATTCTGCTAGAAGCTTTCTTTGCACAAAGAATTAGTCAGCTTCTTACAATAATAATTCGAGCCTATCCAGTGACCACAGCACTCACCGTAACCCAACCTTCCACCCCTAGAGGCCACTGGCACTGTGGTCCCCAGCTTCATACCGGTGTCAGAAGTGAAAGTCAGCACTTAACTAAGAAATCGGGTCTCACTGGAGACCTTCAAGCAAAGATTGGACAACTACTTTTCCAGAACAGAAAGGAAACTCACGTGTCCAAAACGGTGACTAATAAACATACCAAAAGAATATGGCTGCACAAATACCAGAATCTGATCAGATAAAACACTTTACAGAATGCCTTGTAACTATAAGAAATTTACAGAACGCTGCTTTTTTAACTGAGTTAGAGACTTCACAAGAGAAGTAAAACCTGAAGAGACCACCTGCTCAGAACATTGCTTACAGAAATATTTATAAATAACGCAAAGAACATCCATGAGATTTCAGGAATATCATTCAGCAGCCAGACAGGACTCCATGCCCAACCACGATAGAGAAGTCCTGATGGATGAACTTTCAATAAAAATTCCCAATAATATTGTGCTACAAATGAGGACTCATCTGATTAAGTCCCCTGAAAGTGGTAGCCGCCATATTAAACCATCTCTCATGACTGTTTGGCAAATGAAAACCACTGGAGCCAAAAATTTCTATTTCCCTGGAATATCAAAATAGAAGGCCTTATTGTTCAATGACAATAAGAGGCAACATTTGTTGAGGCCTTAAGATTCAGTAGCTGGATCACTTGATTAGAAAAATAAACTATTGTTTCTTTGAAAAAAATTAAAATGGTTTGAAAATCTCTAATCTGACTTCTAGTTAGATTAATGTGGGATAGCAGATGATCTGCAAAGCCCTCCTGCCGCAAACACCTAGGAATTGAAATAAAACATAACAAGTATCCTTTTCAATGCAGAACAGAAAATGTAAGAAAGTAAGGGAAATGGCCAGTGCCAAAAATAGAAAAACTGTAGAAAAACTACAGAACCACAAGAGTGAGCATGTAAGCCACGTGTGTGCCGGTGAAGCAGGGGAACAATGGCTGTTGACAATCCAGGGGGCTTGGGTTTTAACACCAACATGGGGACAGGGGACAACTAGAGGACACACACACTTTCCAAACACACACAAAGCATCTACTTTTTTGAGACGGAGTTTCGCTCTTGTTACCCAGGCTGGAGTGCAATGGCGCGGTCTCGGCTCACCGCAACCTCCGCCTCCTGGGTTCAGGCAATTCTCCTGCCTCAGCCTCCTGAGTAGCTGGGACTCTACAGGCACGCACCACCATGCCCAGCTAATTTTTTGTATTTTTTTTTTTTTTTTAGTAGAGACGGGGTTTCACCATGTTGACCAGGATGGTCTCGATCTCTTGACCTCATGATCTACCCGCCTCGGCCTCCCAAAGTGCTGGGATTACAGGCTTGAGCCACCACGCCTGGCCTACTTTTTTTTTTTGAGATGGAATTTCTTGTTGCCCAGGCTGGAGTGCAATGGCCCAGTCTCAGCTCACTGCAACCTCCACCTCCTGGGTTCAAGCGATTCTCCTGCCTCAGCCTCCTGAGTAGATGGAATTACAGGCATGCAGCACCATGCCCAGATAATTTTTGTATTTTTTTAGTAGAGACAGGGTTTCTCCATATTAGGCTGGTCTCAAACTCCTGACCTCAGGTGATCTGCCCACCTCGGCCTCTCAAAGTGCTGGGATTACAAGTGTGAGCCACAGGGTCGGCACATCTGCTATTACTGATCACATGCTAGGTCACAAAACAAATCTCGGCAAACACAAAAGAATTCATACTGTACAGCCTATGTTTCCTTGCCCCAGTGACTTTTAATCAAGAATAGTAATAACATAACCAAAAGTGCTTTATATATTGGCAAATTTAAGAACATCCTTGTAAATAACTTATGTGTCAAATTTGAAAATATTTAGAATGGAGTAAAATGAAAGATAAATACACTTAAGGGAAACAGCTAAAACAGTAAATTGAGGGGAATGTTACAGCTTTTTTCTGAGTCTGTTTCATCCTGTTATAACAGGTACCACAGACTGGGTAGTTTACAGTCAACAGAAATTTATTGTTCTGAAGGCTGGAGAGTCCAAGATGGAGGGGTCACATGTGGCAAGGGGGTTGTTTCATCATCCCACGGTGGAAAAGCAAAACGAGGGTGGGAGAGAGAACAAGGGCGAGAGATCAGACTCGTAGCCTCAAGCCCTTTTATTTTATTATTTTGGGTTTTTTTTTTGTTTTTTTTGTTTTGTTTTTTTTTTTTGAGACGGAGTCTCGCTCTGTCACCAAGCTGGATTGCAGTGGCATGATCTCAGCTGACTACAACCTCCGCCTTCCAGGTTCAAGCAATTCTCCTGCCTCATCGTCCCGAGTAGCTAGGACTACAGGCATGTGTCACCACACCTAGCTAATTTTTGTATTTTTAGTAGAGACGAGGTTTCATTATGTTGGCCAGGATGATCTCAATCTCTTGGCCTCATGATCCACCCGCCTTGGCCTCCCAAAGTGCTGGGATTACACATGTGAGCCACCATGCCAGGCCATCAAGGTCTTTTATAATTTACATTAATCCATTCATGAGGTCCCAGCACCATCACCTGAACACCTCCCATTAGGCCCCCATCTCCCGTAACTATTGCATTGGGAATTAAATTTCCAACACATGTTTTTGGGGGAACACATTCGAACCATAACAGCTTTAAACACACATGTTAAAATCTACAGCCATGTCACCCTGAATGGTTTCAATCTTGCCTAATCTTAGAAGTAGAGTTGAGCCTGGTTACTACTTGGATGGAAGACTGCCTGGGAATATTGGGTGCCAGAGGCTTTTTTTTTTAAAGTGCTTTATCTAATTAAGGAGGAAGAGGAGGTGAAGGAGGAGTAGAGGGAAGGTCTTAAGAAGAAAGACAAAAGCAGAAGAGTTCAGTATTCAATTTAAGGAATTAGAAATAGAATAACAGAAAACCCACAGAAAGCAGAGGATATAAATGATAATGATATGGGCAGAAATTGATAAAATAGAAAACAAAGGAATAATAAAATAAACAAAAACTTGGTTCTTTGAAAAGACTAATAGGCAAACTTTCTGACAAGGTTGATTCAGAAGGTATAAATAATACAGTGAATGAGGACAGGACAGAGACAATAGAGATTTCTTTAAAACAGTATCAACTTAAAATTGTTATGACAATAAATTTGATCATTTACATAAAATGAACGATTTTCTAGAAAAATAATTTACAAAAACCGATTAAAGAAAAAATAAAAAACTTGAGTATACCAATGTTACGGGTTGAATTGCGTTCCCTTGAGAGACGTCGGAGTTCTAACCCCCAGTGCTTCAGGATGTGACCTTATCTGGAAATAGTCTTTGCTGATGTAATTAGCTAAGATGAGGTCATCTTGAAGTAGGTGTGCCCCTAATCCAATATGGTGTCCTCCTAAGAGGACCGCCATGTGAAGATACAGAGGGCACCACATGAAGATAGAGGCAGAGTTGGGGTGATGCATCTATAAGCCAAGGAATGTCAAGGATCTCTGTCTATCATCAAAAGCCAAGGGAGAACATGGAAGAGATTCTTCCCCAAAGCCTCTAAAAGGAACCAACCCTGGGGATCCTTTGATTTCAGACTTCCAGCCGCCACAACAGTGAGATTAAATCTCTGTAGTTTTAAGCTGCCCAGTTAGTGGGACTTTGTTCCAGCATCCCTGGGAAACTAATACAATCAATAACCACTGGAGTGACTGAAATGACAGTTTAAACCCTAAACACACACAGATCCAGTTCAGCCTCCCCATTGCCTAGACAAGTAAACGGAAGCCCCGCAGCTCCCCAGAAAGCTGGTGAGGTAGCATGTGGCATCAGGGAGCAAGCAGATGTGGTCCACACCATGCTCTGCAATAGGACAGTTGGTCCCCATGTACTTTTCCCACTTTTCATAGGCTTGTCTTTTCTTCCCAGGTGCATCAAGGTGATGGAAAATTAATTCTCTACCCCAACGAGAATGTCTATCAGATTTTCTTTCCTGATGGGACAGGCCAGATACAGTATCCACAGAAGCACAGGGATGCCCGTATTGACATATATTGGCACCTAAAATGTCTGATTTAGGGTGCGGGGTTTGACTGAGGTGGGAGGTTTGACTGAAGCCTGGATCATCTGCAGGGCCCTTCCTTTTCCAGGGAATCCCAAGGACTGACTGCTTGTGCCTTAACCTTCTCCCAGTTATCCATCAGGAAACCTGGCTATGCTCATCTTACATGTGAAAATGAAAAAGTTCACATACATCATTCTGGAAGACAGTCTAAAAGGGTGGATCCGGGCCCTTATCAACAACTCAGGCAATGCCACCTTCTATGATGAAAAGAGAGACATCTGGTAAGCTTGGATCATGAGTCCCTAACACTCCTGCCCATGGAAAAGCAGCTGGAAAAATTGAGGCCCCCAGATTGGATGAACTTCCTCTCTCCCTGCCTCAGACTTCCACGTGTTGGAAATGGGAGAATGAGCACCACGATGGACCAGTTTGTCAGGTCCCTGACCTCAGAGTAGGTCACCATTGCTCCCCCGTGGGTGAAACAGCAGTCAAGTCTCCACAGCAACCATATTCTATGGGTTTCATCTCCTAAGCACCTCTTGAGAGTCACCCTTGTGAGAATTACCTTAGGAAGACCCAGTGCCTCCGTGTTCTGGGTGCCTCAGAGAGGAGGGTTTGGTGAGGGTTTGGACACATGCATAGAGTCCGTGGTCCAAAAGGTGACTTCTAAATATTTCACTATAACTGAACTTAGTTCTTAAGTTCCCATTTCTGGTAATGGTGGAAAACCATCTTACCAATTCAAGACAACTCAGTCACTTCAAAATGCTTCCCCATCTCTTTAAGGCAAGGACTCTCTTTTCAGGATTTTCTCCTTCCCTTCCTCTTTCTAAGTGGTCATGGTGTGGGGATTTATACTTTTTTTTTTTGAGATGGTATCCTGCTCTGTCACCCAGGCTGGAGTGCAGTGGCGTGATCTCAGCTCATTGCACCCTCTGCCTCCTGGGTTCATGTGATTCTCCTGCCCCAGCCCCCTGAGTAGCTGGGATTACAGCCATACTCTGCCACTCAAGGCTAATGTTTGTATTTTTAGTAGAGATGGAGTTTTGCCATGTTGGCCAGGCTGGTCTTGAACTCCTGACCTCAGGTGATCCACCCGCCTTGGCCTCCCAAAGTACTGGGATTACAGGCATGGCCACCACGCCCAGCCAAGGGGCTTAAACTATCTTGGATCAACTTTATACTTTCTTCTTGCTAGTCAAAGCCAAACATAATTCCAAAAAAAATGGATTTTCAAGCTGCAGAGTTTGGTTTTTAACAATATTTTCTCTACTGTGAGCCTTTTTACACACTGTTTCCTGATTGTCTTCTTCGTGGAAGTATCTGCCCTCCCCAAACGCCCTGTATATAGAAAATGCTCTCCAAGAAGTGGACCAAAATCTTGGGTACAGAAAGCACAAAGGAGTCGGGGCAAGAAACTCTCAGCTAATTACCTCAGAGAGGATCTGGTGACAGATCATCAAGCAAACCAACATCAGGAAGGGAAGAGCTCCTCCTCTCAGTCCTACCAGCACGTCCCGGCACCTCTGCACATGAGCATCTGGATGAGAGACAGATGCACAGGGTCCCCCTCTGTGAATAGACTGCCCCACCCAAACTGATTCCTTCCCCAGGGACACCTGCTCCAGAGAAAAATGTTACCCACAGAGCTCGGTCTCTGAGGGAATGCTTCAGCAAAACTGCAGTGTCATTGACACTAGAAGATTTTATGGCAAAGCCTCCCATAGTCATTTGTCAACACAAAGCCACTTGGCCAAGGCCCCAACCCTAACTGCTAGAATTTCCTCAGCACTAACAGGGCTTCCCCGCGGTACCTCGGGCACTGGGAGGGACTTAGAGCCAAACTATTTCAAGAGCTGAATACTTCTTAGGTCACTTTTGATTTTCATTTCCTCAGGGAAGATGGAAGGCGTGGCTGTCCTTTGCCAGGTGTGTGGAAGCTAAAATTGAGCATTGCCCTTGACTCCCAGCCCAAGGAGTCTCAGGCCAGGCTTCCCACCTGGGATCAGGGTCCCACACAGTGTTGAGGTCTGTCCAAACCCAGGCTCCTCGGTGGGTGGGTTCTATTCATTCCACAGGTCAGGATCTTTTTACCCCCCTGAGCAGGAACTTCCCAATTCTGACCATTCCTAGATGTTCCCGATCCCATCTTCCTAAGGGAGACTTAGCCCAGAGCTGGGCACCCATATTTACCATATCTATTCCTAAGCAATGAGAACTTACCATATCTATTTCCTAGGGAGTAGGGGATGGCCTAGTGTTGCTACTGGAATCCTAGGTTCTTTGGATCTCCCAGGATAGAAATCAAGAGAGATCACCAAACACAGCAGCAAAGGAAAGTTTATTTCAGCTTGTGCACAAGGGAGCCAGCACTAAGAAAAGGAGTCGGCTACGCCCTGAGCGTAATGTGTGGGTTGGTTTTCTAGGGTCTGTCTATAGGGAAGTGTTATGACAGGGCATGTATAGGGGCAGTTTTTCTAGTGCTTGCCACAGTGGCTCAACATGCTCCTTCCTTCATCTGAAGTAGCATTAGCACTTTAAATCTCCCACCCCAGGTGCGCTTTTTAGCATGTAAATAAGGAAAGGCTAACTGTAAGTTGGAGTTTAAGTCTAAGGGCTTCAGGGAAGTCCATAGCCACCTGAAATAGGAGCTTCTTGGTCTCTTGTTACTGACTGGTTAAGAGTTAGCTAAGACCATGCAGCCTGCCCATCTCTGAGAACTCTGATGGGAGCCATTTAAAAGGTTAAAAGCTAGCAGGATCTGCTCCCCAAAGTGAAGAAGAGTCCTCTCTTTGCTCTCCTCTCCATCAATGATAACAAGGAAATGTTAATGTTTTCTCAGTTATTGCTGTGTATAGACATTTAATCCCTACACAGCCCTCTGAACAAAATACTGTTACGATCTGCATTTTACAGTTCAGGAAACGGAGACAGAGAGAGGTGGAGTGACCGGCCCATGGCCACAGTTTGCAAGTGGCACAGCCGGACTTTGAACTGAGAGCCTGGCTCCAGAGCCCAGGTTTTGGTTTGTTCATTTGCTATTTTTATAATTTTGGTACCAAAGAGCCCAGGTTTTTAATTCGCTACTGTGTACACAGCCTCTGATTTAGAGGAGGAATGAGGTTGAACAGGCTGGGCCTCAAGACGAAAGGACTTCGAAGTTCGCTTTTTGTGGGAAGCAACAGGGGGACTTGGGATTGAGTGACTGGAAGTCCACCCGGAGGTGAGCAAGGCTGCCCGTAGCAGGCCTCTGAGCCACCTTCTCACTCCAATGACGCCCCTTGTTCTGTAAAGGTTCATAGATACAAAGTGACCCCCAAATGCAGAGGGAGCTGAGAAACCAAAGAATGAGGCAGACAAATCCAGTTTGTCTGTATAAGGTAATTTCCCAGGGGAACTTACAGAAGTCTGGTCCAGGGTGGATGCAAGACAGGTAGATCTCCACATCAAAACCTCCCAGACCCAGGCCCTGCATCTTGGGGAAAAAAGTATACATGCCCTGGAAGGAATGTGTAGGCAGATATAGGCGTCAAAGACTATCATGTATGCAACAACATCAAGGGTTGTTTTCAAAGAAAGGCAAAACTTAGAGTGAATAGGTATTTCTAGATAAAGTACAGTACATCGCCACGCCCTGGACAGCCCAAACAAGGCCTGGCAGACTGAGTAACCCAAGCTCCCCAAGCCCTCCTTCTCCAGACTAACCCAGGCCTCAGCATCGCTTCCTTTCCTCATGTCATTCCCCAGAGATGCCGCTTCCCCAAGGGCACCAATTCTAGGAAGTGCCCTGTTGGGATTGGAAAAGCAGAAGCCAGGGCCAGAGGGATACGATGGGTTTGAAATGCCAAGAGAGGGTGGCTCAGAAGGCAGGCAAGCCCCAGAGAGTAGGATCTGGAATGAATGGGAGAGAAACCCATCCACCCTCCATTCCCTTGTACCTATCAATGTGGGTGCCCTGCATAGGGCTGGCAGCAGGAATTCAGCAGAACAGCAGACAGACAAGGTCCCTGCCCTCAGAAGTTTGTGTTTTAGTGAGAGAGAACAGATGATGGACAAATACAGTTAGTTCTCATGATTCATATTAGTTATAGTCTATAAAGTCATTGAGGGCACTGAATGGAACTCCTTGCTCCTAGGGAAATACATACATACATACATACATATATATCACTCATGTGGAACAGTGTGCCCGGAGCAGGGGGAAGTTTGAGTTTCCCAGTGTGCACACTGCCGGCTGAGATTGAACAAGGCCAGGCTCTGCCTTCCTGCTCAGCTCTCCTGCAGAGACAGAGGTATGGGGGACAGGACAGTGTAGTGCAAGAAGTTGCAGCTCTGGGGCTGGTGGGACAGGGTTTGAATCCCAGCTCCAGCATCCCACCATTACTGGGATAGCCTCTGGAAAGTCACATGATACTTCTGAGCCTCCTATTCTTTTTTGTAAAATAGAATTTTTTTTTTTTAAAGCAGTATCTTGGGCTGGGTGTGGTAGCTCATGCCTGTAATCCCAGCACTTTGGGAGGCTGAGGTGGGTGGACCACGAGGTCAGGAGTTCAAGACCAGCCTGGCCAAGATGGTGAAACCCCATCTCTACTAAAAATACAAAAATTAGCTGGGCATAGTGGTGGGTACCTGTAATCCCAGCTACTCGAGAGGCTGAGGCAGAGAATTGCTTGAACCTGGATGGCGGAGGTTGCAGTGAGCCGAGATCACACCACTGCACCCCAGCCTGGGCGACAGAGCGAGACTCCGTCTCAAAAAAACAAAATAAAAATAAAAAAGCAATATCTAGCAGGATGGGCTCCCTTTAGGATTTAAGATGATAACCTATGTGAGATGTGTGTGTGTGTGTGTGTGTGTGTGTGTGTGTGTGTGTGTGTCTCCCCTAGGAGCTATGGGTTGGTTCAGTATTTGCTAAATCACTGGCTTTCTAGAACCTAACTCAGTGAACAATGAGAATTTGCCGTATCTATTCCTAAATTATCTGAAGGAAACTAACAAGGCATGGCAACGGACAGTCCCGTAGGGAACCGGGGGGCTGCTCAGGCCAAAGAGGTGACATCTAAGCTGAGACCTAGAGGATAAGTAGGCGCCAGCCGTGCCATGTGAGGCAGGGGACCTTTGCAAACAGAGGGAAGAGCATGGCAAAGCTGTGAGCAGGAAGAGCCTACATGTGCCAGAAACTAAAGAGGGAAGGGGGTGGGGCGGGGCCATACGGTGAGGCCAGCACAGAGGACAGCGCCTGGTGCTGGGTTGGTTGTCCATGTTGGAGCTTCTCCTACCCAGCAAGTCCCTGTCAGTCTTTCTGCGGCCAAGTGGGGGAAAAGAAAGGGAAGGAGAGGAGGAGGAGAAGCAGCCTGGGGCTGAGCGCCCTGGTTGCCTGATGTGCTTTCTCTTTGTCCAGGTTGAACCTGAGCTCCAACCTGGGCTACTACTTCCCCAAAGACAAACACCAGAAGGCCTGGAACTGGTGGAACCTGAACATCCATGTCCACGCACCCCCTGTCTGGCCCATCTCCATGAAAATCAATGAGTACATCCAGGTACAAATAAGGAGCCAGGATAAGATTATCTTCTGCTTCACCTATGGACAGAAGCGGATTTGTTTAAATCTGGGCACCAGGTACAAGGTAAGGGCATGACTCCCTCCACCCTCCACCAGGTGGGGTGCTCACCTGTACAAAGGCCACTGCTGGCTTGGACGGGCCCATGCCACAGGTCTCCAGGCTTGCTCTATATATGCCAACCCATACAAAAACAAGGCCACTTTGCTTTGCCTGATGTTTAAGTACATACAATTGCATTCATGCAACTTCCCAGCACTGTGGCCTTAGGATCTGAGGAAATTCACATCAAAATGCTCAGGCTAGCCTGGGAAGAATGAGTTGCACCTGTAACCCCAGGACTGTGGGAGGCCAAGACAGGTGGATCCCTTGAGCCTAGGAGTTTGAGACCAGCTTGGACAACGTACCAAGACTCCTTCTCTACAAAAAAAATTTTAACTAACTGGGCATGGGCCAGGCGTGGTGGCTTACACCTGTAATCCCAGCACTTTGGGAGGCCAAGGCAGGCAGATTACTTAAGGCCAGGAGTTCAAGACCAGCCTGACCAACATGGTGAAACCCCATCTCTACTAAAAATACAAAAAAATTAGCTGACCCCAGTGGCTCACACCTTTGATCCCAGCTACTCAGGAAACTGAGTTGGGAGAATTGTTCGAACCTGGGAGGCAGAAGTTGCAGTGAGCTGAGATCACACCTCTGCATGCCAGCCTGGGTGACAGAGCAGGATCCTGCCTCAAAAAATAAATAAATAAATAAATAAAATTAACTGGGCACGGTGGCTCTCGCACCTGTAGCCCCAGCTACTTGGGATGCTAAGGCAGGAGGGTCACTTGAGCCAAGCATATGATCCTGACAATAAAACGAAGATGTCAACATGCATTATTGCGCTTGACACAGCAGCCGTGTCGGAAGTCAGGGCCGGAAACAAGGGTGGGAATCTGTGTCCCCAGCCCTGCTGCTGTGTCCTCTTCCTTCCCCCCGAGACACACTCATCTCTAAACAGATGGTCCCCTGGGAGTCTGAGGCACCTGCCCAGGCAGGCAGGAGAGGAGCAATGATGTCTTTGTTTCCTAAGGCTGCTAGAACAAATCAGCACAAACTAGGAGGCCTGAAATAACAGAAGGTTATTCTCTCAGACTCTGTGCCGAGTCTGAGATCAAGGTGTCCGTGGACCCACCATCCTCTGGAGTCTCCAATGGGGGGACACCTCCTTGCTTTCCCAGCTCTGGTGGCTCCTGGTGTTCTTGGCTTGTGGTGGCATCACTCCAGTGTCTGCCTCCACCTTGATGTGGCCTTCTCCTCTGTGTGTCTGTGTCAAACCTCCTTCTCCTTTTCCTTAAAAGGATACCAGTCATTGAATCTAGGGCCCACTCTAAATCCAGAAGGAGCTCATCCTGAGAGCCTTAGTTTAATCACATCCACAGAGACCCTGTTTCCAAATAGGGTCAAATTCACCGGCACTGGGGTTAGGACTTAGGCATCGCTTTTGGGGGACACAGTTCCACCTACTTGAAATGTTGAGGCTGGACCCCCAGAGCTCCAACTGTGGTGGGGGAAGAAGGCAGGTTCCTGAGGCCCTTCCTGAGTACCAGATTCAAGGAGAGGAATGAGGGTGTCTTTGGCTCCCACAATGAGGACTAAGCAAGGTTCTGTTCCTTCTCAGCTCCCCCAACCCAATCCACATGGAAGGCTCCACTTATAGACCCCCCTCCAGAGAGGCCCCTGGGAGCAGGACTGCCTGTGCAGACAGATGGACAAACATGCCCCTGGGAGTGAAGCAGCTGAAGCACCAGGCTGATAACAGCAGACTGTGGCAGAACAGATGCAGCTGTGTACAGAGTATCTGAGAAGAGAAACAGGAGCCTGCTAGGTTTAGGGTGCGCAGCCACCCTGGTTTGCCCAGAACGGAGGAGTTTTCTGGGATACGGGACTTTGAGTGCTAAAACTGGGAAAGTTCCAAACAGGTCTGGCCCGCCGGCCCCCCTAGGTTCCCTCGCCTGCCAAGTCCTCCTATTTTGCAGGTGAATAATGGCATCCCAGCATCCTTGCCTAGCCTGGATTTCTCAGAGCAGCCAATCCAGTGAAGAAGAGGCTAGCACTACCAAGCCCCAGTGGCTGATTCGTGCTCCTGCCATGGCTGGGACCTGCTGGGGCTGGACAACATGAGGGCCCGGGGCACCAGTCTTTGAATGGTGGAGGGAGGAGGGTGGGGACAGGAAGGTGGTGCCCAGCAAGAGTGCATGAAGAGCTGCAGTGGACAGAGAGACCAGGGAGCCTGATACCTTGGAGAGCTGGAGTCCCGGGGAGAGGCAGCTGCACCCGTGCCGGGCATGTCCCAGATGAAGCAAATCAGCACCACTGTAATAATCAGAGCCAAAGAAAGGAGACAGAGCCTGGCACAGGGTCAGCCCAGGCGGGCAGCAGCGTGCCCAGGGAAGAACAGGCACCTCTGCGCCTGGCCTCTCCACTTCCTGGGTGACACCAGCCTGTGGTCCGAGCCCACGGTCTTCTATAAGATGCACATGGGTTACTGTGTGGCTAAAACAATCACAATATTGTGTGAAGACATTTCATACGCATAGGATTGGAGCGCACGGGTATTGCCCTGTATGATCCCCTCCAGGAGATTCTGTCCTCGGTCTTTTGCAGGCTTCAGACCCAGGCAGAACTTAGCACAGAGGCGGCCTCCCTGGGCCAGGCCTTTCTCTGAACAAAACCCAGATACACTCCCAAAGAGCTGAAGGTGGAGGCGGGGCTTGCAGGAAGCCACTGTGAGGCATCCCAGCCCTCCCAGGGCCCCAGCTTAGCCCCATGGTCAGGACCCCATGGGGAGAAGCCCGGCTGCCCCAGGAGAGCAGGGCCTTTGGAAGGCAGGTCATGCCAGGGCACCGGAGCTGCTTTCCCTCCGGTTTGGGGCCGGGTGTGGGTGTGGCCTCAGCCCACATGACCATGGTCCACGTAACCACAACTCCAGCCGAGTGAGTGTATTTGGAAGCAGCAAGAAGGTGGCAGGTGGCAGGGCTGGGAACACAGATCTGCTTTCTCGGGTGAAGGCTCGGGGAACACTTGGTCCTGGCCACAGGACGCCTGGCCTGGGGAGGGAGTGGGGCACTGCCCAGGCAGCGTGGATCCTCAGCAGTTCTCTGTGAATCCCGCAGTTTGTGATCCCAGAGGTGCTGAGCGAAATGAAGAAGACAGCCATCCTGGAGGCAGAACCCGGCCCAACCGCCCAGAAGATCCGGGTCCTTCTAGGGAAAGTGAACAGGCTCCTGAATTATGTAACGATCCCTGATCTGGAAAACTTCACAGAGGCCGTCAGGATGTCACTGATGGACAACAAGTGCCTGAAGTCGTTGCGCCCTCAACCCTGGTTTTAGGGCGGGGCTTTTCTGGCAAATGTCTTGGGAAGGTGGAGACCTTGGGAGCTCCAGGGGAAAAAAAAAAACCCAAAAGCTGCTGACATGCTATGAGAGTTGGTTTGTAATTTGGGACCTGTCGAAGCTCCTTGGTTAGAAATAAACGTTTTTGGCAGGGGGCACTGAGAGAATCTGTGGCTGAGCACAGAAAGGCTTCATAGCCCTGATCGACAGCACGGACTCAAGTTGTCATTTCAGTGACATGTCAGTGCCTGTCCTGCCTGCTCCCACAGTCACTCACTATGCAGAAGTTCTTATGTGGCTTTTAGAACCAGCCTTGGAACAACGACTGTGCTTAAAGCTCTTTTGTTAGCTGTGAGACCTCGGGCAAGTAGCTTTATACCTCGGTTTCCTCCTCTGTGAAATGGGCCTAGAAAGAGCAGCTATCACCACAGAGTTGGGAGTATTAAATTAGTTAATACACACACAGTCCCGAGAACAGGGTCTGGCCCGTAGGAGCCACTCAGTAAGCGTCACTCCAATTACTGTCAGCTTGGCCCTTCCTTCAGGTCTGGGCAGCTCCCAGGAAGGGTTTGTCAGGCCTGCGGCTCTCAGCCCCTTCAGCTTCTCAGGTCTTCCTGCTCATGACGCTGCCTATGGTTACCGAGCGTGCGCACAAACCAGGCAGGCCTCATAAGCACTGTGCCGGCTCTAGCTCATGTGGCTCCAGGACGTGGACACTGGGGTGCAGAGAGGTTAAAGGACTCACCCAGGATCACGCACCAGTACGTGACAGTAAAGACCGATATTCCAGCCTACTCAACACCAAAGTGACATCACTGTGGTGATAATATGAGTATGTTTATGACCCCCACCACAGGTCCAGGGCAGCTCAAAGACTCAAGGCCACTCCAGGTGCTACTGCCCTTATCCTACCTTGTTGCACGGTCCTTGCCCCCAACCCCCACCCCACTCCAGGGAGCTCTGGAGGCCAGTCCCGGCTACTGCTGACTTGGCACAAATCATGCATCAGCCTGAGGGGGGTCCAGCCCCTCCTCCTGGCGTTGGAGCCTCTGGGCACCACCCCAGAACACAGCACCTCCTCCTGAGGCTGAGAGAGGGGAGGGTACATGTGGCCCACTGCCTGGATCCCCCACGCTTCCTGCACGGCCCCAGAGGCTCTCTCCAACCCCAACGTCATCACACCTTGTCCACCCTGCCAAGGCAGAGGGAAACCCAGATGCCAAACCCACACCAGCCCAAACCCAGTCCCCCAAACCAGGACCTGACAAAGAGCCTGAAAAGACCCACATGCCAGCTCCCCCCAGGAAGCGGGTGGGACACTTGAGATCAATGGTAACAGTTACCAACTTGAACAAAAGGGGGAAATGTGTCGTCTGGAGAGAACACTGACCTGAACAGAAGATAGGATGGGTCTTGGAAATGTTTGGGGTGGAGAGGCTGCAGGCGCAAGGTCTGGTCCTGGAGACATTTTCTACACAGCTGAAGTCACAGAGCTTTTTCTCTCAAGCTCTCTCAAAAAAAAAAAAAAAAAAAAAACCCGTGGTCTCCACAGCTGGCCCTGATTAAATCAGGAGACCATGCTTGGTCCAAGCCACTGCAGTAAGAGCAGGTGGGATTACATCTTGTAAATGACTCCCAGCTGATCCCAGAGCAGTTGTTTCTAGAAATAGGAGACTTCAGCTGGGCAGCCCCCACGGGATGATTTTTTACAATCTCAGAATACCTGCAAACTTCCCAGAATGACCTGAGCTCCAGCCTCAACCAAGACAGTATAGAAAACCCCAGGCCTTGCCAGGTATGGTGGCTCATGCCTGAAATCCCAGCACTTTGGGAGGCCAAGGTGGGCAGATCACTTCAGGCCAGGAGTTAGAGACCAGTCTGGGCAACATAACAAAACCCTGCCTCTACTAAAAATACAAAAATCAGCTGGGTATAATGGCACGCACCTGTGATCCCAGCTACTTGGAAGGCTGAGGCACGAGAATGTCTTCAGCCCAGGAGGTGGAGGTTGCAATGAGCTGAGATCACACCACTGCACTCCAGCCTGGGTCACACAGTGAGACCCTGTCTCAAAAAAAAGAAAAAAGAAAACCCCAGGCGAGGTGCAGGGGCTAACACCTGGAATCTCAGCACTTTGGTAGGCCAACCCCAACCTCCTTTATGGGAGGGAATGGCCCTTGTGAGATTTAGTAATAGGAGGCAACACCTGCCTCCAACCACAGAAACTAAAAAAGGTTGTATCAGTCAGGGTCCCATCAGAAACCACACCAATGATTTGTACAGGGACAGTGAAATGTCAACGATTAAGTTAATACTAAAAAAGGTAAAAGAGATTGTAAAATTCAATTTAAATTTAATTCAAAGAATTAAAGAACAGCAAGCGCAGAGTGCAGCTCTCTCCCCTCTCCCTCTCAGAGCGGCGCTGGTGCACAGGCAGTGCCTGCTAAGGTGCAGAAGCTGGTTCACAAGAAGCTTCTTGCTAGGAAACCAAGAAACCTGACTGGGGAGAGAATGCCAGCCGACCTGCCACTCTGCTGATAGCCACAAGGAGGAAGGAGAAACATCCACACCAGACACGAAAAGAGACCCTTCCCTTAGGCCTCACAGCATACCTCCAGCACCCTACAAAGCCTAGCACTGCACCAGCTAGGAAAGGAAAAACGTTTGCCAAGGTCCAGCTCCAGAATCTCAAGGTAGGGCAACAGGGTGGATTTGTAGCTGACAGGCAGTACAGTGATAGCTGCCACAGAGAAAATCCTACTCCTCCATTCCAGCACTCAAAGCATAGAAAGCCAGACACACACGCACAGACACACACACACACGCCCCATGGGGAGTTAGCTTGGCCAAGAAGAAAGCAATTGCAATGCCTCCCAGTCCAGGCCTGGCCACAGAGTGGAGACAGTCTGAACCAACGCTTCCTGCTTCCAAAAAAAAATGCCCATGTGGTGCTTCCTGCTCTTACTCCTCTGGTCCTCCAGCCTATGGTCTGTCCCCTAATATTTTCCCAGTAAAGTCTTTTGCTGCTCAAATTAGACAGTGACATCTTCCATTGCTTGCTCTCAAGGACCATGATAGATACAGAGGTGCAGCCATAAGGAGATGAAGCTGGAACATGGGCAGGGGCTCCCCTGAGACCCACTGTGCCCTCAGAAGTTTAGAGCTTTCTATTTTAGGAGCAAGGAGGCAGGGACCTCTTAAGAATGGGCTCTTGCAATAAAGATATTTCACGCCGGGCACCGTGGCTCACGCCTGTAATCCCAGCACTTTGGGAGACCGAGGAGGGTGGATCATGAGGTCAGGAGTTCAAGACCAGCCTGGCCAATATGGTGAATCCCTGTCTCTACTAAAAATACAAAAAATTAGCCAGGCGTGGTGGTGGGCACCTCTAATCCCACCTGCTTGGCAGGCTGAGGCAGGAGAATCACTTGAACCCAGGAGGCAGAGGTTGCAGTGAGCCAAGATTGCGCCACTGCATTCCAGTCCGGGTGACAGAGCAAGACTCCATCTCAAAAAAAAAAAAAAAAAAAAAAAGGTATTTCAATATTCCCAGAAGGGCTTGAAAATGAAGGCCCTTCTTCAGGAAAGATGGGGAAAAAAGGAAAAGAAAAGAAAATGAAAGCCTTGACCCGGGGCAATGGTATTAGAAAAACTGAAGAAGTTAAAGACCTGTCTGAGATAGAAAATGCCCAGCACTTAGTAATGGGATGATGTGGGGAAGGCAGCACGGCTTGGACAACAAAGTCACACAACACTTACTGCGCACCTTCTGCAGACTCTGTTCTAGGTGCTGCGTATAAACAAAACAAAGTCCCTTTCCCAAGGAGTTTGTGATCTGGGTTGATGGGGAAGACAAAAAACAAGCAAAATACATCATGTGTCAGGTATGAAAACAACACAGGTGAGAGGAACAGCAAGTGCCGGGGACTCGGACTCACTATTCTGTATAGCAGGATTTTGCCACCTCTGCTCTACAGACATTTGGAGCCAGATGGTTCCTTGTGATCCAGACTGTCCAGTGCATTGTAGGATGTTCAGCAGCATCCCTGGTCTCTACGCACTAGAAGCCAGTAATACCCCACCCCTAACACACACACACCAGTCACAACCAAAATGTCTTCAGGCACTGCCACATATCTGGGGCTTGGGGTGGGAGCAGGGAGATTGCCACTGCTGTAGGTCATGCTTGGGTTTTTTGGTTTTGTTTTCTTATGGCCCAGCACATCTATCTTGGCAACTCCTCCCTGTGTATGAGAAGATATATCCTGAAATGTTAGGGTATTCTGAATTTACTAATGGGAAACAGGACCATCTGCACTGTGATTCATTCTGTAAGATAGCGGGCCTTAGACTCTTCCTTAAAAAAAAAAAGTCAATGTCAAGAAAATAAACAAATGAAAACTCTTAAGAGTAGTGGTCTAAGCTAAAAGGAGCTAAAGAGACATGACAACCAAGTAAAATGTTGAACCCAGGATAAAGGAAAGCTATGAAACATTTTCGGGGAACAATTAGGGAAGCTGAAATATGGACTTCATATTAGATATTACTAAATTTCTTTTTTAGGTGTGACAGTGATTTGGGGTTATGTAGGAGAATGTCCTTATTCTTTGGAAACAGATGCTGAATTATTAGGGGTACAATCTAAAGGTAAAGTGTAACATTGACCACAAGGTCCTTTCAAATAGTTTAGAAAAGAATATATATGAGTGTTTGTATAAACTAATAATTAAAACCCACTTGATTTCCTTTAACATGTGTAAAAAAGCCCAATTTTGTAAGAAAAGTTATTTTAGAATATACATAGAAAAAAATCTGGAGGGTATATGCTAGACATTCAACTGTGGTTGACTGTTGTAAGTTGTCTTACTTATAAGGTAACAGCACGAGAAAATTTAAACCAGGTGTTGTTAAACCAGGCGAAAAAATAAAGGTTTTTACTGCTCCTACAATAATACTAAATTTTAATACAACTTTGTATGTCAGTACTATGCTGACAATACTCATGAAATTGTCAGTTTCACAAAGAAAAAGTTAAATTGCCTTTTAACTAATGAAGTATTAATATGCTTCAAAAATGTCTTTTCACAAGAATTTTCTTGCCAAAGGAATTTATACAGTACAAGTAAAACTGGCAAAATCTGAGTACGATTGATAGAATATATTAATGTGAATACCCTGGTTGTGATATTGTGCTATAGTTTTGCAAGAGTTTACCATTGGGGCAAGCTGGACAAAGGGTACATGGGATCTATCTGTATTATTTCTTACAACTGCATGTGAG